GTAAGACGTATCCAGACCCCTGTGTTAATACCTATCATCACCTGGCTACCTCCTCCCTCTTCCTCCCCATCCTCCTTATCCTGCTCATCCTCTCCTGCCGTTCTGCAGTCCACCTAGCCACCGTTTCACACCCACGACTCTCCCCTGCCGCGTCTCAGCCTGGCGCTGAAACCCTCCCAAAACCAGCCTCATCCGTGCCCCCGTCCTCATTTCCCTACCCACCAGCCCGTGCACCGTGACCCGCCAAGCACAAACCCCTCGACTTCGAGACGTGCTCCTAATTATGTACAATACTACCGTTGAACTTGCTGTTCGAACACGCGTGCCAGATCTGGGGTCATCCTAAATGGGAAGCTCCTTCAGAAGAGGGGACGAACCCTTGGACGAACCGGTACCGATGCAGAGCGCCCCTCCTCCCGCACGACCTAGTGAAGTGTCTTCACACCGCGCCCCCTCCCCCCCCCGATCGGACAAACTTTCCAAACTTCACATATTAAATCCCAGACTTCATCTTTCTCGTTTGCCCAGACCCCCCCACGCCCCGCTCTCCCGACTTCTTTTGCAGCCACGAGCCGCGCTAGGGTAGGTCTTGCATGCAAAGGAGATTGAGCGACCTGGCTTTTCGGTATTACATGGTATTACATGGCTTGGCCATTCATCACCGTCAGCATCTTTGGCTGCCGACTACGTACTATAGTACCTAGGTTACTGGGATGGGTTGACGAGCCTTGTGGCTAGGCATGTGTGTCGCTTCGCTGGATTGGGAAATTGATTTCGCGAACGACCTCCCTCTGCAGTCTCCTGCCTTGGTGATGGCTGTACCGTGTGCAATGGACGGGCCACTTGGACGCGTGGATGCTGACAGGAGGGCAACTCTCTCTTGGGCATAGGGAATGTGCAGCTAATAACTGGCTTTCTACTACTGAGGCACGTCGGCCAAGGTAACAGGTACACTGAATAAACAGCGCAGAGTCTGCTTACGTTACCGGTACCTAACCGGCCTCGGTCTTTGCCATTGTCGCTTTACTCTCACATCGCGTTGCGCCTAGCTATTGTTCACTAGCGGCTAGCCTGGATCAATTCCAACTCCACTCACTACCATGAGCACCAGGAACACCAATCCTTTTCCCTCATCGTACTAGCTGTTGCGAAATCTCTCAAACTCCAGATAGCAACACCACACGCATAGATCCAAAATAATCACCCTCTCCCACACAACATCAAGGAAAGAAAAATCATCACACCCACATCTCCCCATCCACGTCTCCCCATTCACATCTCCCCCCCAAACTCAACACCACCCCAACACCATCCCACCATGTTGACGATACTATCCCCAAAATCCAAAGTCCCATCCAACCTACCTACCACAATACCAGGCTCGAAACAATGCTTACCCTATATGCAATGAACAGCTTTTTTATACAATTCCCCCCTCCTTCTCCTTCATGCGTAAACTCTACCCTTCTAATTTCAGTAGCCATACAATCTCCTCAGCCTCGTCTCTTAACCAAAAAAACAGAAAAGAAAGGAAGATCTCGCGATAACAGCTACTAACGCAACAAATTTAACAACTCTCCAAGCCAGAAAAGCCAGCCATAAACACCACCAATGAAGACAGATTCGGAAATTGGATTTGGGATATCTTCCTTTCTACGTCTCAATCTCAGCGTCAATTTCAGCGTCAATTTCAGCGTCAATTTCAGCCTCAATCTCTCCCTCCTCGGTATTCTCCTCATATTCTTCACTTCCCAACTTCTCCTCGCCCTCTTCCACCATACACTCCATGCGTACACATACCCCCTCTTCCCCCTCCTCTGCATCTTCTCCATCGCACTCCCCACTTCCCCTGCAAACTCCCGGCACCGGAATCTTCTTCCACACATATTCACTGGACTCTGCTGTCTTGAAGGTGGGATTTTTGTGGTCGGGGCGTGGTGGGCCGTGTATGTTGGGCTGAGGGGGATTTCGACTTTGGCCTTGACTTTGTGTGCAGGTATAGGTCTCAAGGGGCCTGTGGGTCGTGTGCTGGGAGGGATGCGCGCGGCGTGTGGGGGGGGAACGGTGGTTGATGTGGTTGTGCCGATGGGGGGGATGCAGTGTGTTGTTATGTAGGGGGGTGGGAGTGGTGGGAGTTGAACATGGAAGTTGGACGCTGGACGCTGGACGCTGGACGCTGGACGCTGGACGCTGGACGCTGGACGCTGGACGCTGGACGTTCCTCACTCGTCGCAGGAGCGTAGAGTACTGTAGGTTATCCCCATCCCATAGCTATCGGATTGAAGTGCTAACTCACAGGTCAGCTGAACGTCGCACGCTATGCTTCTATGCTATGATCTCTTCACATCTCTTGACATCATTATCAGTCGCTGGGCTTTGCATCGAGGCGTAAGAGCTTCTGGCCCTGGGGCTGGCATTTCTGAAGCCGATAGTGTGCTTTGGAGGGTGGAGCCTGGTTTGCTGCGAACCCTCTACCGAACTGCATCCGTGCCTTGTGATGGCTATGGGGCCGAGATGGAATCGGGGGATCTGTTCGATAGATCGCTACTTACTACGTAGGTGCAACTTTGTTATTTGGCTTTTGATTTCATGTGGGGGTACGGATACGTGAGGTCTTCTTGTCACTGTGAAACACTTCCTCGACACTGTCCAATGTGATTCAGGACCCGATAGCCCGCATAACATGCATAATCACACTATATGGTACCGTGGGGTTCCATCACAATCCAATGTTGTCGTCTACAGCTAAGCACGCGCTACCGTACCGTACCGTACCGTACCGTACCGGTACTCGTTGCCATTCCCAGAGACGTCAACAACGCTAACCATGATGGGTCCATCTACTCAACCAGACATCCGCGTTGCCTACCTCTGTCAGCTCCTCAGCCTCGTCCGCCAAACTGCCTTTCGTGCCTCTCACTGTACTTTGCCCAACTGCAAACTGAGTCTCATCAACCAGGTGCATCAACATGTCCACGACAGTCCGCACCACTCTTATCAAGGCTGGTGAGAAGACGAAAAAGTGCCTACAGTCGGTAGTTTGGCAAACCTGCAAGTGCGTCCTCTGGGTTGTATGCGCGCCTTGCATATGTTGTGCACTTTTGTTATTGCCGCGTGGTCGAAGCACTCGCCAGAATCATGGTGAACCATATGAGCCACCAGTACCTCAGTTGCCTGCCCCTCGTCGACGCACTCTCTCGATACCTTCGTCTACACTTCAGGATGAGCAGAACCTCTTGGAACAGCCCCAATCCGCCTTCATGAATAAGCTTCCACTGGAGATTCGGCGAATGATCTACGCCCACGCCCTTGGAAATACCAAAATTCATGTAGCAACCCGTGATGGCGCACTCTTGGTCCACGGATGTTTCTCTCGCAAGACGTGTCGGGGTGCGAATTTCGCATATAAAGGTGTTCAGAAGCGTGTTGGCTTTGCGCTGCCCTTGTTGAGGACTTGCCGACTCATGTAAGCTGCTTGTTGGAGCACAGTGTAAATACACAGTCTGTCCAGGGATCGACTAACCAGCCCAGCTACTCCGAGGCCATCGAATACCTGTACACTTCCAATACCATCGCTTTGTCAAATTGCGGTCGACAGAACCCAACCATTGACTATCTCTCCTACTTCATACTACCGCATCGCTACGCACAGATCCGCAGGATGCACATCTACTGGGACATTGACAGCCCACCCTACTACTTTCTCATCCCCAGAGATATGCGACTGGACTCCGAGTCCTCTCCCTGGATCACATCCTGGCGCGCCATCACCAAACTCAAAGGTCTGCGACAATTTCACGTCATACTGGCCGCCCCTTCCAGTCCCAATTTCTTCGTTCATAATCCTCACTATTGGAAGATGTTTGGACGGCCGCTCTTGGAGTCCATTCCTAGGATCGAGGCAAAGCTCTTTGTCATCACGCTTCCGAGTCATACGTGTGAGAGGAGGGCAAGGATGAAGAATCCTCAATGCAAGTTACGATTGCCCAGTCATCGTCGCAAAACAGGGTGATAATTTGACGTGTTTCGGTCTCGAAGAACGGCCATGTGAGACCATGACGACAGATTGAGGTTTTTGAGGTCCGAGTCGTCAAAAGCCAGTCTTGACGAGAAACATATCATGGGACTTTCCTCGTCGCATACGGTAGGTTGTCTGCAGGCCGTTTCCCATGACGCTGGTCCGATAAACTCATCTCTACCCCACGCCATCGCGTAGTCGGCATCGAAGATTGGTCAATCAGTCGTTGGAAATTCAGATAGCAGAAAACAAACCGCAATCAATTGATCGAAAAAAAAAATAAGCCATGCATTAAGGGAAGAAAGCGGGCAAGCCATTCCATCATGACGTTGGAGAAGGATGTCCCTACACATGCTTAAGCTCTTCTCGGCCAGCCCAACCCATGGATCCGTGCCGTTCATCTTGAGCTCGCAAATCCTATCCCACCATTCATCAACGTGACCCAGGAGCCCGGACCTTGGCGACTTGGCAATCTAACGTTCTCCGATCTGGGTCCCCGCAATCATCGCGTTCGACATCAGCCTCCATGTAGGTTGAGGAGGTTGGGACATGGGTAGCTTTCTCCAAGTGCTGGAGCTAGGTACGGAGCTCATCAGCCAGCTTGAGAAAAATGGCGCCGGATGGATGCACGCACACGGTGTGACCGAGGCTTGCAGCATGGTCCAGCGATTTGCTTACAGGTTACCCGGGCGATAGATAAGAAGACGTTGGTCCGGTGAATTGATCGTCCTGCAGGAACTGTCCCGGTGCCTTTCCCACGTCACCAGAAGTCGTTGGCGCTCCCTGCCAATTCTTCACGATGCGCTCATTTCTTGCTGCCTCGGTCATTGTTGGCATCGCATCCTCTGCTGCCGTGCCCAGCCCTGCTCAGGGACTGAAAAGTCACGGCCATGGACACAAGAAATTCAATGTCCAGGTCGGCGTGCGACCGTACTATTTGGTCGACAACATGGACGATAGTCCATTGAAAGAAAAGTTGGAGAGCTGTTCCGAGCAAGAGTTCAAAACATCCGACTTCGTCTTTGCCCACCGCGGCGCGCCTCTCCAATTCCCCGAACACACGCTCCAAAGCTACAAAGCCGCGCACCGTCAAGGCGCCGGTGTCATCGAATGCGACGTAGCCTTTACCAGCGACAAGCAATTGGTGTGCCGACACGCTCAATGCGACCTCCACACCACGACCAACATCCTCAACACCACCTTGGCCTCGAAATGCACCACGCCATTCACACCCTACAGCAATGGCACTGCTGCCACGGCAAAGTGCTGCACCTCTGACATCACCCTTGCTGAATTCGAAACCCTATGCGGCAAAATGGATGCCTTCAACCCCAATGCCACCACCGTGACCGAGTACATGGACGGCACGCCCTACTTCCGCACCGACCTCTACGCCCAAGGCTGTCCCAAACTCATGACCGTCGATACCTACATCCCCCTCGTCGACAGCTGGAACCTCAAATTCACCCCCGAGCTCAAAACCCCCGAGGTCCCCATGCCCTTCAACGGCTACACCCAAGCCCAATACGCACAGGACCTCGTCGACAAATTCCGCCACTACAACATCGACCCCTCCCGCGTCTGGCTCCAGTCCTTCCTCCCAGCCGACATCTTCTACTGGATCGACCACGAACCTGCCTTTGGCGCCCAGGCCGTCTACCTCGACGACCGCGTCGACACCCCCGCCGGCTACGCAAACGCCACCGCCAGCATCCCCGCCCTCGCCGCCCGCGGCGTCAAAATTATGGCCCCGGCCATGTTCGCACTCACCAAGGTCGACGGCGCCGGCGCCATTGTGCCATCGGAATACGCGCTCGCGTGCCAGAAGGCTGGGCTCGAGATGGTGGCTTGGAGCTTTGAGCGTAGTGGCTGGTTGCAGATTCAGGGCGGGGGTTATTACTTCCAGTATGTGGCTAATGTGACGGCTAAGGATGGGGATATGTATGAGGTGCTTGATGTGTTGGCCAAGGATGTGGGTATCAAGGGCATGTTTACTGATTGGCCGGCTACGGTGACGTATTATGCGAATTGTTTTGGGTTGTGAGGGGCTGAGTGGTTTTGGGATGGTGGAGGGGGGGTGGGTGAAGAGGGAGAAGTTTATGGAGTCGAATCGAATTGAAAAAGGGTGGACAGATGTAAATACCAAGACCTCCTACTGCATCACATCACCCACTTCTTCCTCGTCGACATCACACACTCTGTACCCTTTTCCCATCCCTCTCCCCCCTCCCACTGAGCTCTGGTTGTTGTTACGGTATGATGTTGAATTTGAAAAGAAGGATGGGGAGGAGCGGGGGAGGCCGCGTAATGTTCAGGCG